CCTGCTTTTTGTTTACCAGAATGCTTTCAACAGTAAAGTTCAGTAAAGCAAACAGAGTTGAATTGAAATCAATTGATTTGTTGGCTCATTGGAATATCACATGATAAAGACCTGGCAGACTTCAAACCCTTCACCAGGATGAAGAGCAAGCTATCACACCACCAGCCTTCTCGTGTCACATCATTGTTTGAGTGACACAGGACAAGTCCTGAAAATATTGGATATCGGGTATCAGTGGATCGAGTTAGCTCCTGCTGGCACCTGCGCAAAATGTCCTTAACCACGGGTGTTGCAAAAAAAAAATCATTTCCAGATAATGTCAGACTCATTGAACATAATGGTGTTTAGTTTCATTGTAAAACACCTCAGCTTTACAATGCATAATGGGAAAACTGGTGGACAATGGGAATTGTGGCAACAGGGCAGCTATGACTTGGGTGGCCAGCAGCAACCCTGCAGGTTGAACTAGGCAGGCAGAACTGCTACATATGACTCAGCAGCAGCTGAGGCCATCGAGGGCATGTCTTCAACCTTGATGGACTTGTCAGCCCACTGCTCAGAGGCAAACTTCCAGAAACGGTCCTGCAGTGAGTTGGCTTGAAGGGGATTTCCCTATATCTTTAGACACTTTCTGGGGTCAAGTGTTGGCTTACAATATAAACTTTTCTTAGCCCTAGACTACAACAGATCGACAAAGGGAGTTTTAACATGATTTTGGTACACCAAGCTCCTCATGTGCCGAGTAAGCATTGAGGCGTGGCTTGATGATCTGGTCAAATGCTTCTTTCAAACACGTCCATTTTGCTTTTCCGAAGTCAGTGTTGGGACACCTTCGCCTTGCAAAGCATCTTTGCTTCTCATCACCCTGCTCCACTGACATTCTTCTCCGTGGCCTTTTGTTCTGCCCCTGAATGCCTTGCTCATCTTCATCTCCCTTCTCTTCTGTAGTTTCACCGTTCTTCTTTTGCTCTTTGCCTTTTGTTGTCTTTTGAGGTCCTGCTTCAGCTGTTTTTGGTTTCTTCTCAGACTTCTTCCTCCTGCTGCCTTCTTCCTTTCCCTTGGTTGCCTCCCCCACATGTGTGCCATTCTGATCTCCACTCTGTTCTTCTGCGTTCAAGACCTGTTCTTCTTCGTGAATTGAACCATCCGCCTCCTCCTCTGGTTCTGCGCCTTTCTTCTTTTGCTTCTTTGCCTCCTTTGCACCTTCTGCATCGTGTTTCTTCCGTGCACCCTTTGCCTTTGAACCTTCCATCTCTTTTTTTGTCCTTTTTGCAAGCTTCTTCTCTTCTGAATTGTTTTCCTCCTCTGCAATATGTTGGGATTTTGTTTGCTTCTTCCCCTCTTCTCCACAATGATCCTTATTTTTCTTGTTTTTGTCTTCTTTCGACTTCGTTGCAGCCTTGGCGGTCTCTGGGTCCTTTGGCTCCTTCTCTTTCAATTCGTTTGGTTTCTTTGCCACAGACTCTCTTGCTTTGACTTCATCATCCACCACTTCCTTCACCTTCTTCCTTCTCTGGCCCTTTCCCTTATGCCCATGCTTCTCCTCCTCCTCCTCCTTATCATCTTCGCTTCCTTTACATGCCTTTGCACTCTTCTCTCGCTGCCTCTTTCCCTTCTTCGCCTCCTTGCTTTCATCATGGACCTGTTCATCCTCAGCATTGTCCTTTGGGTCATTCTTTGCAGAATTCTCCTGATCCTCATTCTCAGTCTGTTTTCTCTTCTGTCTTCGGGTAGGTTGTTTTGCCTTTCTTTCCTCTTTGGGGTCTTCAACCTCAGCTGCCTCTAGGACCTTCACCGAAGCAGTTGTCTTACGGGCTTTTCTGCTCTTGCCTTCCTGGTCCTCCTCCATCTTCCTTTTGGAGTCTTGTTCTTCACTAGGCTTTGCAACTTCTGCCGCAGCAGCCTCCATTGCCTCCCTCTCTTCTTCTACAACATGGCGGCTCTCTCCTGAACCATTTTCCTTTTTATCATCCCTTTCATCTGCGGCTCCTGCCCCTGTCTCCTCCACATCCTCCTTTACCTCAGTCTTCTTTGCCTGCTGTTTGGGCTCTTCAGCAGGATTCTCGGTTGCATCTTTCTTTTCACCTTCATCTTCACCTTCATCTTCACCTTCATCTTCACCTTCATCTTCAGGTTCTTCTTCATCAGCCTCATCCTCTGCCATCTCACTTTCACCAACACTTGTCTTCTTCTGGGATCCTCGACCTCTCCCTTTGCCTTTCCCTCTGCCTTTACCCTTGCCACGCCCTCTGCCCTGGCCACGACCTTTGCCTTTACCTTTTTTCTTCCCTTCCTCTTCCTCTCCTTCTTCATGCCTTTGCTTCATGCCCAGTTGGTCCCGCCGCAGAACCTGATCACGAGAATCCACCAAATGAGAATTGTATTCTCTATGTTTTTGAAACAACTATGCCACAAAACTTCAGCATGAAAATGGAGAAGGATCAAGTCTGGGTCCAACCAAATACAGCATACAACAAACAAAATTTAAATGTTTCTGTTGTTCAAAGGCACCGTTGGAGCTGAAGGTATTTCGATTTCTTGGGCCTCCTCCGAGGCGAGTTGGTCCGCCAGCTCATCCATGAAAGGATGCACCTGTGTGTCGACATTGTCACCACTGTAAGGTTGCGATTCGTCAACCAAGATGGTTTTGTCAGGCTTGGCTCCTCCTCCAAGAGACTTCTGGGCTTTCCTGCCAAGAGGTCAACCCACGGTTATAAAGATGCAAGAGTCAACACGCAACAAAAATACACATTGCTTTGGAAGTTGTGGCTCAAAAAACAACAGGAAAGCCTTTTTGGAAACAACATCAAGTCTCCAAGCAGTGAACTCTTTCTTTTTGATTGCCAGTTGTCGTTGCAACTCCGCGAGTTCATTACCAATTGGATCACCCACCCCTGGCAAAGGCACAGGAGTCTCCTGCGTTTCCTCCTCCTCGCAGTCAATGATAATTGTCTTTGTGCTGGGACCAGGCAGCACAGGTTCAGGCTCATTGCTGCGACCATCGGAGTCAAAATCATAGTCCACCACTTCAGAACCTGGAGCCTCAGCTTCATGTTGATCTTGGTCCATGACAACATCCTCAGCCTCAGATTCATCTTCAGGTGGTAGATCCCCATTGCCCTTGGTTACATCAACACCTTCAGCTTCTGAAGTATCTACTGCTTCATCATCCGTATCATCCAACCCTGATGGATCCTCTTCGTAAGCCTCTTCCTGCATGAACACCAGAAACACAATCACATCCCTTCTGTTCGATACCTGCTCACATGCACCAAACACCTTTTAGATTCAACATCTTTTAAAACCTCAGGTGCTTTTAGACCCTGTCCTTCAGATCGGGGTCAAAAACCAGAGCCATAAGCAAGCGAAACAACCTGGATCTAGGGACCTGGTCGCGAGTGAGCTTCTTTTTGATCAGCACAAGAAACGCTTTGATTTTCTTCGCTTCCTGCTTGATTTCCTTGAACGGAGGAGGCTCCAGCTTCATGATATGGAACAGGGCTTTGATCCTGAGCACAGAATATCTATGGTGCCAACATATTGTGGATTTAACCAGTGAGACGAACCAAACTTCAACCCGAGAAAGCAAACAACGGAACAAAAAGGGTCGTTGAAACATTGCACTAGCGACTGCCTTTCCAGTTGTGGAACATGGTGCATCCCAACTTCATTGTTGGAATCCTTTAAACACTTGGCCAAGGGTTTGATGACGGAGTAATTGAGCGCAGCATTCTTCATGTTTACCTTTTTGTCAGCTCCTTGCCACGTGAGTAGACACCTGTGAGAGCGGACTTGTTCCCTAACCGCCTCTGCAGCATCCCACTCCTTTGACAGTGAAGCCAACGAAGGCATCGACATGGCGCACGGGTTGAAACCAATAGCTTTCAGATCCACAATGTCTTTGGGACACACTTGGTTGTAGATCATGCCCTTTTGAGGTGTTCAAAAGAAATCCACAGAAATCCAAGTTTGACTTCAAAAGCATTGCTCGACGTTCACCCTTTCCACTTGTCACCTGTCCCCCTCTCCAACGCACAGCCTCGCTCAGGCCTCGACCTTTCTTTGAAGAATGGTTCACCACCGCGGAAGCCCAAAATGGGCTTTGGCACGGGATGCGACCGATGAGGATGAAAGATCGCGAGCAGAGGGAGGGTTCATTGACGTTACCTCTCTATTCTAAACCACTGAGGTCCTGGAAGGATTGGTGGTGAGAGGTAGGATGCCCTCCACGATTGCTTTTAAAATTCAAGTGTGGGTGCTTGAATTGCATCAACCGAATCCCATTCCTGATTAAAAGGGCCCATACTTGGACATGACTTCATTGGCAAAGGCTTATTAGCCACATGCTTGATGGAGCCTTCTTCAAAATACGGCCCTTTTCAAAAGCACGCTACCTTTAGTAAAAAGACAGTCTTTTTGACGAAGGGATGTTTTTTGAAAAGGGTATCTAAAAAGAAAGGTCAAGGGAGGTGTAGGTATATATAGGGCCATGAACCTCCAAACAATATTCACAGATGTGGATGTGTTGCCCCAAGTCTTGACCATTGCCTGGGGCGAATCTCTCCACCACCGGCACATGAGTTGGAGACACCTCTGGAGGAAACCACATCTACTGAGAGATTGGATTGTCGCAATCCTGAAGAACCGGCAAACAAAGTCATGAATTGCTGATCCAAGGGGTTATTTGAGTTGTGGCTAGTATCCATCACTTGACGTTGTGAGTGAAGGCCCGGGCTAGACTCGACGTTGTAATTTGTCGAGCACGGCATTGTCCCAGTCACATGGTTTCATAGGCTTGCTAGAGTGATCACACAGAACAGTCTTGAACAATCCACTTAATCCGGTTGTTAACATTCTCCCCTGGAAAAAGTTGTTTGGATTTGATTTGGTTTGTATGTGTTCATCTTTTGTCCCTTCCTGCCTTCCTAAACAGCTCACCAAATGCATCTCGAAAGGCGAACAGGCTCAAACCCAGCTGCCAGACGCGACGCCGAGGGCCCATGACCGAGGGCCTGCAGGTGAGGGCCCGATTTGTGGACAGCCTCTTTGTATGGTATAATCACATGCCTAGGCATCGCGTGTTCAAAAAACCTAGGCAGGTGCAAACTGGACACAGTAAATGGTCAATAATTGTAAATACACATGCATGACCTTGTTAATCAAGACAGAAACCCTCCAGCAAGTTGAAGCAGGGCATAAGTCAACCACAACTGAGATGTTCCTGTTATCCCACTGCTTCAGTCTTGCAGGTGAACCTTTGCGGCTCTAGCGCCAAGGTGCCCTTGGCACCCGAGGATGGCCTTGCAGCATTGAAGAGCCGCGTGGCGGGCGCCTTCAACCTCTCAGCACCGCAGCTCGGCCCGATCCGTGCTGCGTGAGGTGAAGAAGCAGCAGGTGATTCTGGGTTTGGGGGTGAGGTTGGATTGGTTTTGCTTTCGGTGATTCATATGTGGCTTTTTTCCGCTATATGGCCCTATGATGGGTAAGTCCGCTTCTGGGAATCTTGTTTTCCCGGTTCGTGAAGCAAATCCGAGTTGGAGTGAATTTCTGAATCGGCACATGAACTCGACCAAGACCATCTTCGGATGGATTTGCATGTAGAGATGACCTGACGCACCGTCTTCGATCTTGGCAGTGGTGCTTGTTGTGGGTGAGGAGGGGTGGCGGGTGTGAGAGATCAAACGAGCATGGATTCTCACCTGGAATTTTACACTAAACTCCCGCACTTGTCACCACACGTCGCCTTGCACTGCCAGCGCCGTGCTCGACTTGCAAGTTGGTCAGGGATCACCAAAAAAAAACAACTCCCATGTCACCGCTCACGATGCGTGGAAGGAACACTCACCTGGATTTTACACCAATCAATACTCCCGTTTGTCCTTTCGACCTCATTTGGACCCCCACCGCCCCCGCGCCCGGCATAGGTATCAAAAAAAAAAGAGCATCAAAAAAAATAAAAACAGTATCAAAAAAATAAAAAGCGAATCAAAAAATAAATATTCCTTGATAGGCCTTTTCTGCTGCTCTCCTGGCCTTCTGCGTGTCCTCTGGCAATGTGGTCCCTTGGTCCTCTGGTCCACTGGTCCTTTGGTCCCCTGGTCCCTTGGTCCTTGAGTCCACTGGTCCCCTAGTCCTCCGGTCTCCTGGTCCTGTGGTCCGCTGGTCCCCTGGTATCCTAGTCCTTCTGTCTCCGAGCGCTCTGACAACGCCATGTAGGGCCTAACTTCGTGTGAACGCCGTGACTACTGCTACTGCTACCACTACTACTACCACTCCTCCTGCTGCTGCTGCTGACTGCTACTGCTACTGCTACTACTACTACCCCAACCATCCTCAGTGGGCTAGAATATTTTTTTTGATTACCTTTTTATTTTTTTTATTGATCCCCGTTGAATATGTTGTTTTTGATTCTATTTTTATTTTTATTTTGATCCCTTACCCCCCGCGCCCGGGCGGCACCGCGCTCGCCGTCCAGGTTTGACCTCATGGGTCCTGAGGGACGCTTGAAGACCGACGAGGACGGTGGGGGTGCGGTGGCTGGTCGGTGGGTCGGTGGGGTCGGTGGGTGAAGATGGAGCTGAGGGGTTCAGGGCTTAGGAGAGGGGTGAGTTTGGGGTGTGAAGGAGATGGTGGGGAAGGAGTTGCAGCATGTTGCAGCTGTGTGAGTCAAGTACATTTAACTGCATTGAGCGAGAGGCTTGAAAGCAGAGAGGTGTAGAGGGTTCCTTTCCCCAGAAGGCAGTGTTTCTCAAGCAATCAAAATTTGCTTTCAGCAATGGACATGACTCACTTATTTACAATTATATATATATACTTACATCTACCTACTACCTATCTAAATATTTGTATATTTTATATGTGTATACTATATATATATGTGTGTACACTGCTACTGGCAATAACATGGCCAGCAGAACCAAGACTCTGACAAAGTAGGCCATTGACAACTTGGGAGGACATTCGGCCAAGACTTGCATCAAAAGTGTTTTTTTTTTGGGGGGGGGGGGATGCATTTTTTGCGTGAAGGCCTTTTCAAACAGGTTGCAGTTGCAAAGAAGGAATTGCCTCCTTCAGCGGCTTTGAGTGGCTCACAGGACGCAGCTCAAGCAGCCATGAAGGAGGGCGAGCTGTGTGTGAGCAACTTGTCAAAACCTGATGGGTGAGCAACTGATCCCTCAACTCGCTTCTACCGATTTCTTTGCGGTGAGATATTGTGGCGCCCTTTAGAGAATCTGTTGATATATTGTGATTAAGATATATAGGGTCACTTCATATCACCTTCTTCAACCGATGGGAAGACGAGAACGGCTGATACCGTGTCACGGCCAAGAAAACACGCTCCGTCTGGGGAGCTCAACTTCCACGGATACAGCAATATGTTGAGCAATATACGCGTTTGCTTTTGTTCCCCGACCGGGGCGACCTGCAAGGAGGAACTGAAGTTGCTTGCCTAGCTTACGAGATGTAAGGGGGCTGTAAGGGGGTTGACCCAAACCCACAATTCTGACACAACTGGGATCAACTGGGACTGAACAAATCCACGTATCATGCCGGCAAACTATTACAGTAGTCAGTAACAGCATTTAAAGTGCACAAACAATATGCAACGCCTGATATACATGCAAATACATACGTACTCGGCAAGCATGCTTACTCACATCAACCAAGCCGTTCATCCACCAGAGAAATCTGAAAAGCGGCGTCTTTCCTTTGAGAAACCGTTTGGACACCGGTGTCCGGACTCGTTCCCTCATCCCTCACCCCTCTCGCCAGGCACCAGCGAGGAGGCCCTGCTGGACCTGGAGCGTGCACGGGAAGAATCGGGTGTCCTCCGCTGGGCCTTGTTGCGGCAGATCCTCGGGGAGCTTCGAACCCAGCACGCCGAGACGGCGCACAAGCAAGCGGAGGGGAAGCACCAGGCAAAGGGGGGACGGATGGGGAAGCGGTACCGCGGTTGGATGGGTTGTATGGGTGAGTGAGTGAATGTGGGTAGGACCGTGAGGCGGTTTGCGGAAGGAATTTGGGGTGATGGGTAGTTGTCTTCATTTGCGTGGCATGACGTTCTTGCAGACCTTGATCCATCGGATCACTCAGAGTGGTTTGTAGAGTTGCAGATGGACCACTGATGGGTGATGCAGGGCATCAGGTGTGCTTTTTCAACTCGGGCCAATCATCAGGTTCAAGTGTTGGGGATTAGATGCTGGAGAGAGAGACCCATATATCATATAACATCATATAACCATCCCCAAAACAGAATTTGGAGAGAGAGAGAGAGAGCAGCAAAAAGGAAGAACCAGTCAGTCAGCCAGTCAGGCAAGAGGCAGGCAGTCAGGCAGACAGATAGAGAATCGCCTTGAACATATGCTGGAATCTACTTCTTGGACAACTCCAAGAGTCTAATTTTCTTTCGGCTGACTGAACGGCTGGAATCATCCACCTGACCTGTTTTGAGTCTTGGACAGGCAGTGCTACTGGAACAGCAGCTTTCACGTGAGAGGTCGGGGGGTATGGGAGCGAAGAGGTGAACCTATGAAGATTAGATAAAGCCAGCATGAATCGACGGTTATGGTTTAACAGGCCGGGGAGGTAGCACATTTATAGTAGCGGATGTATGACGATGTAGGCAGTTTTTGATAGTTATATGTTTTATTTTTTGTATGCTTGGGTTTGCACAAGGAGTCTTTGAACCCGACAATCCAGCAACCCTTGGACCTAGCCCATCTAGCCACTTAAGGTTCCCCAAGGATCCCCAAGGCACCCCGTGTGCCAGTCTTTCAGGTCCCGACTCAAAGCCAGTCTCGACTCAACACGTTCCACTCTCTTCTGTTCCTTTCACCCTTCTCACCAACAACACAGGCTCCCACAACCCTTCGCCAGAGATGCTCCCCCGCAAATCCTCAAACTGCTTCGACCGATGCATGAGGAGCATGAGAGAGGCGGTGCAGGGTGCCTTGAAGAACGAATTGGTTGAGCTGAAAGATGCCATGGCCTTGGAAGTCCACAAGCTCCGCCAGGCACCATTGTTGCGTGGCACCATTGTTGCGTACCCGGGCGCACGGTGTTGTGTTGGGTTTGAGTATCTTTGATTTGTTGGGCGGCTGGGCCCTTTTCTTTTTGTGAGAGGATCATCATTGGTCTTAGTTTTTCAATCGACTATATGGTGACATTCAGCGACCAAAGATCTTTCGCTCAAGAACGACGATCATCCAGACACCTGCGGTTGGGCACGACATCATCGCAGCTTGTGTCACCAGCTCACCGCTTGTGGCCAGGAGTCCCAGAAGGGCTTGGAGGAGACTGCAAGATTGGACTGACCATATTTGGGCAATCGCATGCCTGGACAGAGATGTGTGTGTGTGTAGCATATGTAGCATCAATCTTTTGTAAGTCAAGCGATGTGTTTGACCATGTTTAAACTTAATTTTGTCAGATAATTATGTGAGTGATTTTAGGAAGCTAACAAGGTTTGCTGGTCCAAAGTTTGGTGCTTTGTCGGCAATTCTGCATATGATTTACAGTACATACATAGATATAAATAGTAATACGTATACATAGGTAATCAGATCACCAATGACAAGCATATTTATATATATTATATACATATGCATGTATTTTTTAGTCATTAGTGTCATTCAGGCTTCAGGGCATTCCTATCTTGAGGGCATGTGTTTTGCAGTGGGTGACCCTCAACACCATCATCATTCTTGGTAAATACACGTGGGCTGTTCATGATCCACTATTGGACGTGCCGAAGGCAGACCAGTAAGAGAGACTGTTGACATGCTGGTCCATGGCTATCATGACTCACTTGTTGAAGTCGACGTCAGAGACCTCAGAAGCTGCAAACACATGTCATTCACCCTCGCATGATATCATGTTTTTTTTTCCTCTGAGTTCATCAAAAAACAACAGTTCCAAGACTCGCTGTTGTCATGATCTCATGATCCACTTTTGTGCCAAGGCAGCCACGATCTTATATAATGTTGGACGCTGATTAGTAAATGGGCCCTCTATAATGCTAAATGTTTCCAAAATTATTCCAGACCCCATGTTTGAAAAATGGTTCCTGAATAATGCTAACTTTTTTGGGACCCTAATTTTTTATATTGGACACCTACTTAATAAGGGTTTGAATTCCTTCTGAACCCTGTCCACCTGCACTCCCCCCTCCCTTTCCAGGCAAGCAGCCAGCAGCAAAGCAAAACTGACAGCTG